CTCCTTTTCCCTCTTTTTTGGAGAAGAGTACATGGACTAAAGACAATAAATAAAAGTCTGACTTTAGCCACCTTTTGATTTGCTCTTATGTTCCGGCACAGAAAGATTGTTTTCAACTTCACATCAATTCTTTTTCCAAAGTGTGTGTGTGTGTGTGTATGTGTGTGCGTGTGCGTGTGTGTGTGTGTGTGTGTGGAGGAGTACATCAAACAATATAGCACCCTTTCATAGCCAAAAAAAGCAGTGACCTCCTGTGTGTAACATACACAGCCATGAATTGGCTATTTTAGATGACATAAACTGCCTCATAATCCACACCAACTATAAGTCAAACTTTTACCACTGTTTCATTGACTTCACACCAGGCATTTGTTTTTTTTAATAACCACTGAGTTGACTGCCTTTTTATTTGCCTTTATGCTGCAGAATAATGTTGTTTTCAGACTTGTTTAAACGGTCATTAATCCTCATTTCACTTCTCTCTTTGTGGAAAATACATTTAAAAAGAGACATTTATCATATTAAGTTCTGCAAAAAGTGAAGGAATTCATATTCGTAACATAGCTATACATCTGCCAATTTTTAAGATGGAATGAAAATACAACTTCTAAACTTTGCAGTAGCTGTTAATCTTACAATCAACACCAATTTGTCATAGTCTTAGACAAAGTCATACTTTAATCTGCCCTCATGCTGCGGGATAACATTTAGTTAAATCCCTCTATTTCATTTTGCTTCTGTCGGCCTACATGAACAAAAGAACAACTTTTCATGTTAAGTTCTGCAAAAAGTAAAAGGAATTCCCATTTATAAAATGCAACAAGATACTGGCCAATTTTTACTATGAAATTAAAGGTATTTACTTGGCAGTTTATCTCATAATCAACACAAACCAGTCATAGTCATAGACAAAATCATACTTTAGCTACTTTTTTATTTGCCCTCATGCTGCAGGATAACATTGTTTTTACACTTGTTTGAACTTTAGATCAATCTTTTAAACTTTTCATATTATGTTCTGCAAAAAGTTAAGGAGTATTTATAACGCAACTGGACAATTTTTTTTTACTATGAAATGAACAATAAACTTCTTTGTTTGCAGTTTCTTATAATCAACACCAACTAGTCGTAGACAAATTCATACTTTAGCTACCTCTTTCATGGCCTTCATGCTGCAGGATAATATGGGTTTAAAACTTGTTCAAACTTCAGCACAATCTTTGATTTCATTTTTTGTCTGTGGGCCTACAAGAACAAAAAAAAAAAACAAAAAAAAAACAACAACTTTGCATGCTAAGTTTTGCAAAATGTGAAGGAATTCATATTCTTAACACAACTATACATTAGCCAATTTTTAAGATAAAATGACAATACATCGTCTTTACTTTGCATTAGTTGTTTATCTTATAATCAAAACTAATTTGTCATAGTGTTAGACAAAGTCATACTTTAGCTGCCTGTTAATCTGCCCTCATGCTGCAGGATAACATTGCTTTAAAACTTGTTCTAATTTCGGATCAATCTTTTATTTCACTTCCTTCTGTAGGCCTGCATGAGCAAAATGACTTTTCTTTCAATTCTGCAAAAAGTTTTTAAGATGATAATACAATTTATTTACTTTGCATTTTATCTCATAATCAACACCAACTTGTCATAGTCTCAGATGAACTCGTAATTTAGCAACCTGTTTACTGGCTCTCCTGCTGCAGGATGATATTATTTTAAAACTTTTCAACTTCAATCTTTTATTTCATTTTCTTCTGTAGGCCGACAAGAACAAAAACAACTGCTGAGGAATACACATTTGTAACGCAATAAGGAATTGGCCAATTTTTACCATGAAATAAAAATACAACTTCTTGACCATGTAGTCTATCTTATAATCAACACAAACTAGTCGTAGTCATTGATAAATTCATCCTTAAGTCACCTTTTATTGGCCCTGTTGCAGGATAACATCGGTTATAAACTTGTTCAAACTTAAAGCCGATCTTTAATGTATTTGTCATTTTTCTTCTGACCAAAAACAACAACATTTCATATGAAGTTCTGCAAAAAGTTAAGGAAATACCATTCAAACACAACTAGAAACTGGCTGATTCTTACTATGAAATGAAAAATCAACCTTTTTACTTTGCAGTTTATCTCATAACTAGTCATAGTCATAGACAAAGTTTTACTTTAGCTACTTTTTATCGGCCCACATGCTGCAGGATTATGTTGTTTTAAACTTGTTTTTACTTCAGATCAATTTGTTTCTCTCCATTTGTCTACGGGAGGCCTACATAAATAAAAAGAAAGACTTTTCTTATGAAGTTTGGCAAAGTTGAGGAATTCACGAGTGTAACGCAACTGTAAATTGGCCAGTTTCTTACTGTAAATGAAAATACAACTTACTTTCTTTGCATTTTATCTTATTACCAACACGAACAAGTTGTAGTCATCAATAAATTCATACTTCAGGCACCTTTTATCGGCCTTAATGCTGCAGGATGGCACTGCTTTTTGACTTGTTTTAACTTCAGATCACTTTTTTTCTCTACATTTTTCTGCCCACAACGACAAAAAACTTTCTTATGAGGTTTACAAAAAAGGTAGGGAACTCATGTCTCTATGAACTGGGCTATTTTCAAGATACACTAATGACAAATATCTTACCTAAAGTTTTTGCTAACTAACTGACAATACTAGCATATTTGTTGGTCAAGGTATTGGTAAGACATTTTGGCAAAGATTTTGCTCTTGTGTTTAGCTGAATGTTTAAAAAAACCCGCCTGTATGAGAATATATTATCCACTTATGATGATTTTAGTATCATATAAATAAGGATTCTTGTAACTTTAACGAGAAAAGACTTGTGCAAACCTTCTTGATGTGTTATATGAAACTCTGAGACAATCTGAATCAGATTCAGATTCAGAGTTAAGACAGCGTGTCTTTGGTTTGGTCTACTCATGATGTTTGAATATATGAATAAAATCCAATATATCATACTTTTTGGCACATATATCTAATGTTATAATAATGTTAAAATCCTCTGGTGTTTTCACAGGCAGTCACAGTCACACTTGATGAAGATATGGACCGTTTTAGATTTAAGACCTTAAATAAAGAGAAATAATTCCCCTCTTTAATTATGTAAGTGATGTTTTGTTGCACTGAGCACCAACTGGAGGTCCTTAAAAATATTCAGCTTTATTTTGTTTAATTTATCTCACATATATGACATTTAAATATACTTTCCAGACAAGCCATGCTCACAGACTCTCAGAGGCGTAAAGAAATTGACTGCAGACTGAAATCTGTCTGAGATTCAAGCAGCTGCTTATTTTGACCAAAACAGATAATTATGAGCATTTAACCTCCACAAGCACGAGCAGATTCGCTGTTTGAATGGAGTTTCTGAGCAGACTTTGGACTCCATCACCCCAGCTAACCCCACCCAACCCCCACTCCTCACCCTGAAGGCTCCCAGAGGAAATTTGCCTTTACCCTGCTGCTGTCAATGCAGTTCAAAGGGTTCACTGAGTTCGTCTCTCCCCTTTTCTCCTTTCTTTTTCTACTGAAGGGGTTATTTTTCTGTCGTTTACTTCATGCATTCCACCCAGCAGCCCCTCACTTCTTTTTTTTATATCCTCTGTTAAGGGTGTGTAAACAGTGCTGGCAAAGCAGGTCATCTCCTCCTCTGAGGTATTTTGCAAAAACAGGAGGGTGTGAGCATGTGGAGGAATTCACATGCAAAAGTTTAATATCTTCTTAATTATTTAATTCATCTTAAATTGTAAGCACATGCTTAAATGGCTTGACTCACTTTTAAATCACATTTTGGGGGATTTCTGCCTCTATCTCTGTAAAAGACGATAAAACAATATTTTTTGCAATTAAGTTAAGTTATTTATGTGACATATGTTTAGATTTCGTTAAGGAATATTTTGACTCAACGAAAAAAAAAATACAAGGAAGTGAAATTAGTGTCACAAAAGCGCACGTGTGCCATGTGCTCCACACTTTTCCACAGGAGCAAACCAAAAACTTGTGGGACGTTTTCTCCATTTTCTAGCTTCTTGTAACAGAAACAGCTTTAAATTATTAATGAAAATCAGATTTAATATTTGTATAGGCGTGATAGATGTTTTTAAAAGCTACTTTTAATGCCAAACTTTTTTTAAAAAAGCCTCTAGTCTGTTTTTAAACCACCTCTTTACCCTAACAGGATGATTTTTCTTTTAGTTATAAGAAGGCACCAGCGAGACAAAAATACCACAGTTAAGTTTTGAGGTAAACCACGTGGTTTTAAAGTATTTTTTCAATCCGACAAAGTCTCCTCTAACAGGAGCAAACAGGCTGAAAATATGTGAATGAAATATCGGTGACGTCAGAGGCAGAGGGGGGAGGTTTGGAGAAGAAGCGCCTGTGCAGCCGGTGCGCCAAAAAATGCGCACAATGGAACAAAATATCCGTTTACGCATCTTCAATTTACCATTTTGTGATGTTTTATTTTTACGCACGGATCCGGCGGGTCAGTATGACTTTATTTCCTTCTTCTAAGGTTCATTTAACCCATTAAAGTTTCCCATTTTGTTAATGACATACATGCAGCCTGTGGATAAACTTTTAACCAAATGATCGGTGCGTTTTCGTAACGAAAGATGATTTTAATATTCCTATAATGTTCTTATGATGCGTTATAATAAGTTAGGTTTGTTTTACTGTTTGTTTACAGTCATTTCTTTCTTGTGTTTCCTTATAAACATATAGTTTTGATTTCTGTGCGCCATCAATCTTCAATATGAGCATGTGCGCGGATCATAACTTCACTGAAAGACTTTGATAAAAGAGATCCATCCCTTTGCCATGCTGCTACAACCCGGTCATTTCAGGTCAGTGAAAGCAGGTTCTGCAGGGGGAGCTCAGCTGCAACTAACACCACATTCAGTGCTTCACATGGGAGTTTAAGTTGAAGAAGAAGGAGATGTAAGTTAAAAATACAAGTGACTCACCTGTTGGAGAGGGTGCGGACATCCTCCTTTTTTCCCCCTAACCTCCGTGGATGAGTTAGGATGGCACAGGCAGAGCAGACGGTTCACCCGGTGTCCCTCTGACAGAGCAAATGTGGGAGCAGAAGCGGAGGTTGAGCCTGCTGGATGGATGGAGTCTGCCGACGCTCTAGTTTGAGTTACATGTTTAGGCTGACTTTAACCTGGCGCGTGAAGCCAAGTGACCGGCTGGAATCAAAGAGATTTTCCATGGATGAATATTTTATAGTGACACTGTAACACAAGCTGCAGCGGCGCGAGGAGAGCAGGGGAGGGCGGGCAGATTTGTTTTAAATGTGTCACCGACAGTTTGCTGGGGAGCCTGTGGCACACATCTGGAGAATCATGCCCCAAAATGATCCATGGATGAGGCGCATTGTTCAGTGTCAGAGCCTAGTTTTTTCCCCACAAAAGCCACTGTCTATCTACTGCTCCTGAACATGTCTGCTTCTATATATAAAAAAAAGACTTCCTTGAGTTGATTTTAATTCCTCCAACAGCTCAGCTAAAGGCAGGTCATTGGCACATTTCAACCCAATCTCCTGCATGCCTTACAGCTTTATAATGGCTCTTCAAACCATGTGGCATTCTTTGGCCTCCCCCATCACGCTCCCAGCCTTCCCCCACCTCTTTCTCTCTTGTTGATAAAGATCCATACTTCACATCCCCCACCCAGCTTGTTTACAAGCACCATTCAGCTACTCTAAATCATTTTTAAAAACCTCATAATCTCCTTGAAAGCACGCCAGTGAGTTATTCCACCTGATCCCTCATCAAACAGCCACACAGAAGCTCTTCTACCTGAATGTAATATTATAAATTAACAACCCCCAAAGCCTCCCCACTGATCTGACATCTGCTCTTCACTCACTCAGCCTTGTGTCCTCACTGAGCGGTGCGAGGAAACTGTTCCCAGACCAGTGATTGGGAGCCGATATGACCAAAGGGTTAAGAGAAAGAGGGAAATGAATAGCGCCATCCATCGGCTCGTTACAGGCAAACACCTGCACGATTGTGCATCCCACACTGAGAAGAAATAGTTCCCATGAGACCCCCATGATATCTGACACGGACAGGCAGATTCCACTTGTAGATGCCTTGAATGCCATTTTTCACTTTACAAATAAGCACCCCTCATAAACATGTGAGTCATGTAACAACATGTAACAAACAGGGGCCTAAAGTTAGGGGAGGAAAAGGTGTATTTAATAAATTAAATACCCTTCAGGCCTCATAAAAAATATTTACATGCTACACTGGGGAAAAAATCCACTGTGAACTATTCAAAGGTTTCTTTTTATCACTTCAACCAAAACTCCCAAACTTCTATGTCCTTTCTTTGTCTTGTAAAATTTAAGTAAAGCTGTATTTTTCATTAAGCGGAAGTAAAGAGCCTGCTCACCTCCGATGCTGCTTGTTTAAAAGAAACATACACAAACTCGATTAAAAATATATAATTAAATAAATAAAAGTTTGTTCCAGTTGAGTATTTGCTCTTCTTTTAACCCTAGAGTGCATATTTCAGCTACAGAAAATTAAAATTACAACGTGTTACATTTATACGTGTCAGAAATATGTTAATTAGTGCTCCTCCGCCGGGTGATATAGTTCCGCAGCAGTGGCGAAGCGGCGATTTCCGGTCGGCGCATTAATATTTCAGCGTGGCCACAGGTGTGTGCTCATTGGGTGTTTCAGAACGTCTTCAAATGTGTCAGCCAATCAGGAATTAGGACCCGCTGCAGCAGTTTGACGAGACTTTATGAGGACAGAAGTTGACAAGAACATGACGGGAGCCCTTTTTAAATATGTCACAGCTTAAAGTGTTGACGATTTATGATATTTAATAATATTAAACGTTCATAATAGTGGGAACCCAGCTGGCTTGGACTCTTATACGCCACCATTTTGTGTCAGAGAATGTTGAAATCAGGTTTGCTTTTAAAAGTCAGCAGATTATCTGTGGTGTTTCTGTGAGGGATGGAGGCCTGCAGGGTTTCACAGGACTGCTAAGCGCCCTCTAGTGGTTCAGAGCTCTCTCGTGCACGTACACGCACGCACACGCATACATTATATACATTAATTAGCTACTTATGTTTGGTTGTTGGGATTTTGCTGATGATACTATTTATTCTTGCTAGTCAGGGAAGTGATTTAACCTCTCAGTATTCATGTTCTGTGTATGAACTGTGTCTCATTTTGTTTCTGTGTTGAATGATTTCCAGCCTCTGTGGTGCTTGTTGGATGGAAAAGTATTTTTAAATGTAGGCATGGATACTCTGTTTTCCAAAAGTTTGGAAATGTTCATTCATGGTCTATGATGTGACAAGATGAAAGTGTATTTAGTCTACTTAAAAATTACCTTTTTAAAATGTATATACAGTATTTATTTTCCATAAATATGATTTAGTCCCTTTATATTTGTATCTATTAAATTACTCTGAAAGTTGTTCAGGGAGTCCAAAACATTAAAGTTGGGGAACAAGTGGATTAATGTCCATGTGCAGTTGAAAATTTTAAGAAAATAATTTAGTTTTAGAACTTAAAAGTAGGTTTAAAAGAAGGCAAAAAAAATTGCAAGTGATGTAATGTGTATGGGGGAGACATTTAGATTAATGTGTGCATGAACAGATTAATCTTCACACTATATTCAGTTGGAAAGTTTGATTTACTGGGAACTTTTGCTAATAGATTGAGTTTAATTTTGTTGAGCTGAAAAATCTGAATGCTGAAAACTTTTATTAAACTTAACATTTTAGTTTGTTTTTCCACTTTCATCCAGATGTTTGGGGAAAAAATGTCATAATGTAACACACATTTCAAGCTCCCTAATTTTCTGTAACCTGATTTAAATTTCCCTAAAAATAAAAGATGAAAGATTTTTGTGTGTTCAACTTTTCTTGGACTGTTTTGATTATAGGTTAGGCTCCACGTTTATTGTATGAAACTGAATTGTGTGTGAAAATTGTGCATTTATTCCACATAATGTCAAAGTTTATATTCAGATAAAAGAAGCAAAGTATTTGTGTGTTATGGTAAAAATCAAAGGATCATTTACTCAGAGTTTTTGATGCTTTGGCACATAAATACTAAAAAGATTTTGTTGTTGTTAAAGATAGGACAGTTTTATTTCCCTAAATTATCCTTTCAAAGTTCATGTTTGTCCACAGCTGTCAAGGCCTAACAGTCTTCTCTGGCTCACATTAGGTAAATAAAATGTTGTATATTGAGAAAATGGCTTGAAAAAGTAGAGTGAAAATGTAACTGCTGAGTACAGTGAATTAATAAGCTAAAACAATTTGTTTTTTAATTACTTTTTGTTTTGTAAATCTTGTACACTTGCAACCTTTTACTTCATTTTAATGCTTCAGTTATGCTGTAAATCAAACAGGAAGTTGTTTATTCTAAAAATGAAAAATAAGTATATATAACATTTATGAAGAAAGTTTGTCTAAAGTCTTTTTCTTCTATGTTTTTATAAATTTAATTTCCACCCTGAAAGGAGTGTGAAAGTCATGTTAAGAACATGTGATTTGTGGAGTCTTTCAAAAGTTACGGCTCTGTAAAATTCCCTGTGTTCACATGAAAGTGGGACATCAGAGAAGTTCTTGAACATGAAACATGTATGTTGAGTAATCCACATGGGGCCCTCTGTCAGACCACCCTCATTTTCTGCTCCTGCTGCACGTGTTGGTCATTTTCAGAGTGACTGCCCCCTGGTGGAAGACCTGACACCTACAGCTTCAGGTGCCTTTGCCTTTAAGTTCACATTCTTGTCTGTAAACAGGGACATTAAGATGTTTTGGATATATCAAATTAAATTGAAAAATATGTAATAAAATTGATTGAATATGTCCAGTTTTTAAGTGTCTGTTTTTTTAGAGCTCAAGCAGCATTTTGTTCTGTGGTCGAAGATAATCATGAGATAAATGTGGGTATTAATTTATCAGTTATTAATATCATCTGTTGTTGCAGTCACATCTACTGTTTTGTTTGGTCATATATGCAGGTCAGTTCTTTACGGTGTGTGACCAGTGGTATAGTGGTAGTTGATGAGGTGGGTGTACTACTAGGTAGATAGGTCGGTTACTGATAAGGAAGTGGGCATACTCTCCTATATATTACAATGGCTTTTTAGCTGATAGGTGGGTATATTGTAACTGGATAGAAAAAGAAGTGGGTATACCTGAGGATACCCTCCACTACACCACTGTGTGTGTGACAGCAATAAAATACCCAACTTAACTATGTCTGTTATCATAGTCTCTCTTTCTCCACAAAGGGACTATCCACCCCAAAATCAAAACACACATTTGTCATCTTGCCTGTAGTGCTATTTATCAGTCTACATTGTTTGGTGTGAGTTGCAGAGTGTTGGAGATATTAACTGTAGAGTTGTCTGCTTTCTTGTTGGCAAGTGTAGTTTGGTAGAAAAAACATACAACCCAGATTCAAATCCTTATCAACCTAAACTTGATTGAACACAGAACAGTGACAAGATGTTTAATGTTTAAACTAATAAACATTGTTTTCTGTAAATACCGCTCATTCTGAATTTGATGCCCGCAACATGTTCCAAAAAAGTTTGGACAGAGGCAACATTAGATGGGGAAAGTTGCTGGATGCTCAAAAAACACCTGTTTGGGACATTTCATAGGTAAAAAAGGTTAACTGGTAACAGGCGACAGTATCATGATTGGGTATAAGAGGCATTTTCGAAAGGCTCAGTTGTTCACAAGTAATGATGGGGCAAGGTTCACCACTTTGTGGAAAAATGTTACTCCAACAGTTTTAGAACAAAGTTTCTCGATACATGATTGCAAGGAATTTAGGAATTCCACCATCTACAATCTATAAATCATCAAAATAATAATGAGAATCCGGTGAAATCTCTGCCCTTAAGGTGTATTGCAATGACCTTTGACCCCTCAGGTGACACTGCATTAAAAACCAATTTGATTCTACAAGGGATATTACTACATGGGCTCTAGAACACTTTGGAAAACCATGTGTCGCTGCATCTACAAAAGCAGGTTAAGACTCGTGCAAAGTGAAAGCCATATAATCAACAACATCCAGAAATGTTTTAATTTTGTTGTTTTTTTTGTTAAATCATGGACATTGTGTTCTCTGGGCTAAAGAGGAAAAGGACCATCCAGATTTTTACCAGCTCAAAGTTCATAGTGAGCATCTGTGATGGTATGGGACTGTATTAGTGCCCATAGGCATCATGGGTAACTCAAACATCTTTGATTGTCTGAATGGCACCATAAATGCTCAAAGGTACATACAGGTTTTAGAGCAACATATGCTGCCATCCAGACAAAATCTTGTTCAGGGACGTCCATGTTTATTCCAACAAGACAATGCCAAGACACATCCTCCAATATGTTACAATAGCTTGGCCTCGTAGTAAAAGGGTGGAGGTATTCGACTGGCCTGTCTGAAGTCCTGACCTGACTCTCATTTAAAATGTGTGGTGTATTTTGAAGCTCAAAACACAGCAACAGAGACACCGGACTGTTGAGCAACTGAAGTCGTATATCAAGCAAAGATGGGGAAGAATTTAACTTTCAAAACTTCAACCATTAGTGTTGTCAGGTCGCTTTCTGAGAGATGGTTAAAGAAAAGATGATGTCACACAGTGGTAAACACGCCCCTGTCCTGAGTTTTTGGAATGTGCTGCAGACATCAGATTCAGAATAAGTGTATATTCATAAAAACAAACCTTATTAGTTCAAACATTAACCATCTTGTCTTTGTACTGTATTTAATTGAAGATATGTGGAAAAGGATTAGCAAATCATTGCATTCATTCACACTGTGTCCCCACTTTTTGGAATCAGGGTTGTTGTTCCTTTATGAAACTGCTCAAAACAAGGATTGTGGATTATCTTGAGTTACCGGATCATGATTTTTGGAAAGAGACATAATTGTGAAAATGTTTTTTTTTTTTAAAGTTTTGAGCACCACAAGCCGAGTGCCATCTACTTCCATTATATTAGAGAGAAGGCAGACATCTCTATGATCGATATCTCCAACACTCTGCAACTCACACCACAACAATCTAGACTGATAAACAGCACTACAGGTGAGAGGAAGAATATGTGTTTTTAATTTTAGGGTGAACTGTCCCTTTGACATCGCGACAGAATAAACGGGCATGATCAATCAGTTTAAAAAGTTGTTTATTGTAGTTGTGGCATTGTGTTTTGTTCCCTGTAAAAGGCAAACAATCAGCACATGTCAAGAGGTAGAAATCATTATCAGTCTGAAAGAAATGCGGGGACTGACATTTAAACACACACACACACACACACACACACACTCAAACACACAACACACACACTCTTTCATGCATACACATAATGCAGTTTTTTGCAAGTTTCTCATCCACAGCGATACTGTCGACTTGCACGGTCATCATTTGCACTATACTTGTACATGCTGGAGTCATTCAACATCCCACAGCCTCCATTCTGTGCACAAACGTTAAATAAATAATAAGCATCGTGTTGAAGCCCCCGGAGGACGCAGAAACCAATCTCCAAATAAACTTTTGCCACTTTGACCTCATGACTGTGACTGCTGATTGGCTGATTATTGGAACCGTGAAGGTACCCCCTCCTTTTACACACACACACTGATTATGTAGTCAATCTTTGTTTCATTACATGGCCGACAGGAGAGGGTATGCTAGCTGTGAGTGCTGCGTGTTGGCTTATAGTTGTGTGCAGGTGCAGCTGGGGCAGATGAGTCTGTATCAGGCTCATGCTGAGAGGGGGAGGGAGGGGAAGATAATCACAAAGAAAGACAGTAACAAAAGATGTAGTAATGGTGGCTGGGTAATAGTGAGTTAAAAGATCCAGTACTGTATCGGTGTGTTATAAAGAAAGTGTAAACAGCTGGTATGAACAGTATTCCAAAGATGATTTGAGTTAACGTAAGAAAACAAAACAAACCCCACACACTTTAGCAGGAGGCCCAGGTTATTTCACCCAGGAGATTTTGAGACAGCGAGCGATAAAGGCGTAGGTGTCGGCCACCTCCTGGATGACCTTGCTGGTGGGCTTGCCGGCACCGTGGCCCGACTTTGTGTCCACAAGGATGAACAGGGGGTTTGACTGCTTGGTGCTGCGGCCCACGATGTGCTGAAGGGTGGCGATGTATTTGAGGGAGTGCAGGGGCACCACCCGGTCGTCGTGGTCCCCTGTCAGGAGGAGCACCGCAGGGTACTGGACCCCGTTGCCTTCTGGGACGTGGATGTTGTGGAGCGGGGAGTATCTGGTGAAGAGGAGCAGATGGCTTCTTCAAAAAACCTCCAAGTGTTCCAAAACCCAAAAATACTCGACTGACTAACATATGACAAAGACAAGCAGCCAGTTCTCACATTTGAGGCAAAAAC